TAGTCAGTAAGGATATGGTCCCAGTAAGGATTTCAGGATCATTAGGAGTTGATATTGGAACCCTTCATTCCTGTGGATTCATTACAACAGATGAGGATGGCTAATTTCAATCTGAATATAAGGGACTTGGGAATGGCTGTCTACACAGAAAGAATCAGAGGTGAACAATGCTCGTGGAGGAATCTTAGAAGCAGCCAGTTCCGGGGCGAAGGGTTGGCTGGAATGACTTTTGTTTCTCTGGCCCACACTACAAACTTTGGTTGGCACAAGATACGTTGGCATACAGCTGCCAAAGTTTGCACATCACTCGGGCATGTGCATACTTGACTGCTTGTATGTCAATGCAAGGTGCGGTGCACTACAGGTAGATAACTCAATGTGCCATCCAGCACAATGTCTTTGGGGAAATTTTTGCTACATATTGTGAAAAATAGAAATGACTTTCCCAGGGATCTTTTGGAGTGTGGACTCAAGTTTCCAGCATGCAACTTTCTCCATCCCATACTGCTACACATATACCATAATTTTGTGCCATTTTTTGAAAATCCCACAAATCTGCATGGCATTTTTTGGTGCCCACCATCTTTGACAGAAGCCTGGAATCCATACAGCTTTGCACTATGCTCATGGTCGTTGCAAATACTGGATGAATGATTCTCCTGTACAGGACCGGCTCCAGGGTTTTTGCCGCCCCAAGTGGCGAAAAAAAAAAAATCTGTGATTGCGATCGACAGCAGCTCCACCGCGCCGCTTTCTTCTTCGGCGGCAATTTGGCGGCAGGTCCTTCCCTCCGAGAGGGACAGGGACCCTCCGCCGAATTGCCGCTGAAGAGCCCGACGTGTCGCCCCTTCCCCTTGGCCGCCCCAAGCACCTGCTTGCTCAGCTGGTGCCTGGAGCCGGCCCTGCTCCTGTATTTGCAGACACACAGGAAGTGTTACAACAATGAGGACATGACAATTTCTTCGAAGACAGTTTGCAAAGGGACATAGCAAAAAACGATTCAAGGCTTTTGGTGTTCATTGAGCAACTGCAGATGGTGGAGCGCTGCTTCTGGCCCGAAGAAATGGGCACTGACTGGTGGGATTGTCTCAGAATGGAGTGATGAGCGGTGGCTGCAGAACTTTTGGATGTGAAAGGCCACATTCCTGGATCTGTGCGCTTAGTTCACACTAGCCCTTCAGCTCAGGAACACCCTAATGAGAGCTGCATTGGCAGTGGAAAAGCAAGTGGTGATCACATTCTGTAAGTCTGCAATGCCAGATTGTTATTGGCCAGTGGGAAATAATTTTGGAGCTGGAAAATCCATAGTAGGGACTGTTATCATGCAAACATGTAGCGTCATTAATTGTCTCCTGCCACACATCACTGTAACTCTTGGCAGTATTACTTGAGGGCATTCCGTGCCAAAAAAATTAAAATTCTGTGCACAATATTTTAAAATTCTGCAAAATTCTGCAAATTGTATTTGTCAAATAAATGTGGATGCTCCAGCAAGGCATTGAGGAGCACAGGCCACTGGCTACACAGAGGTGGGACATCACTGTTCAGCTTCCCCACCCCCGAGGACATGGACTCAGCGGTGAGGCTGCACCCAACCCTGACACAGTGCAATGATGGGGCCTGCCCCAGAAACACCCCAGGGCCCTGACCCTCCATGCCAGGTGCACCAGGTAGGCTCAGCAAGACAGGATCCAAGTGTGGAGGGGCTTAGTGTGGGGGGGATCCAGGTGTGGGTTGAGAGGGTTCTGTGTGGGGCAATTTGGGTGAAGGCAGCTCAGTGTGGGATCTGGGTACAGAGGGGCTTGTTGGAGGGTTCTGGGTGCAATCGTAATGGGACTCTGCAGGGAGGTCCAGGTGAAGGTGGTTGGGTCTCAGAATGGGGGATAGAGCTCTGGGGGTCTAGGGGGGGTCTGGGTGTGTAGGGCTAAATAGTGGGTCCAGATACTGGGGAAGTGGTGCTCAGTGGGGTGGGGATCCAGGTGCAACTGGTTGGGGCTAGATAGGGTGGGGATCTGTGTATGGGTGGTTCATCAGGGTGGTCCAGGAGCTGGGGGAGTGGGGCTTATTGGGGAGGTTCTGAGTGCAGGGGGATGAGGCTTGGCAGGACGGTCTGGATATGAGGGAGTCTGGATGCACGGGGGTTGGGCAGATGGGGGAGTAGCTCCCTGTACAGGGATCCTTCCCCCTGCAGCTGAGGAGTGATGGGCACAGGAAGAGTGGGTGTCTGCAGAGCTTCCTGAAGCCAGGGGAGAAGTCTGGGGGTAGGTCTGACCCGGCGCCACATGCCGTGCAGGGGAAGAGGAAATCCTGTTCTCCCCAGCCCAGCCCGGCACGTGGTAGGAGCCACCAGCCGGGTCTTCCCCAGTTCTGCCTTCTGTCCCACAGTGATTTACCTCTTTGCTTGCTGCCTTGGGCACACAAAACATACTTCAGGGGAGGGCACATGACCACTCTTGTGGCTTCTCTTTGCTTCCCGATCAGAAAGTCATTTTTCTGCAGGGAAGCAAAGAAATCTGCAGGGGACATAAATTCTGCAAATGCGCAGCGGCGCAGAATTCTCCCAGGAGTGCAGCATGCAGGACACAGTGGATGGAAGTGCATCTATGGAGTTCCAAAACTGTGGTGGGGTGATAAACAGCACACATATCCCTGTTTTGGCACCAGCCTACCTTACCACAGAGTACATCAACAGAACAGGCTATTTTTCTATGCTTATGCAAGCAGGTATGGATCACCAAAGATGCTTCACTGATATCACTGTGGGCTGGCCAAGGAAGGTGTATGATGCTAATTTCTTTGCTCTGAGTAGAGCAGAAGATAAACTGACAATCAAGTTAAATTATTCAAAACCACGTAGCAATTTACAGTGTAGATAAATATTAACCAAGCACTAGGTTAAAACCAACATAGTGATTTCATATATGGCCACAATTAAATCTGAACTCTCTAGCACCGAGAGAGTCACCCAGATAGCAATGGAAAGGCAAATGTGTAAGATATCACTCCGTGATCACATAACAAATGAGGAGATCAGAAGGCACAGAGGTGACCAATATAGTGCAGGCGATGTACGATGCAAAGCAGAGATGTGTGGGTCACGTCGTTCGCAGGCAAGAGAATAGGTCAGTGGTGGGCAACCTGCAGCCTGTCAGGGTAATCTGCTGCTGGGCCACCAGACAGTTTGTTTAATTTTGCATGGCTACCCACGGCTCCCAGTGACTGCGGTTTGCCGTTCCTGGCCAATGGGAGCTGCAGGATGCGGCGGCCAGCATGTCCGCGCGGCCTGCGGCACTTCCTGCAGCTCCCATTGGCCGGGAATGGTGAACCGCAAATGCAAATGTAAACAAACTGTCTGGCAGCCTGCCAGCAGATTACCCTGACGGGCCGCTGGTTCCCCACCACTGCAATAGGTGGACAACCTGCATCAGTGACTAGATACCTAGAGACCACAAGCGACCACCGAGCAAACCGAAAATGAGCTGGGCTGATCCCATGACAAAACTCTTTGGCCAGAAATGGAAAGCATGTGCTTGCAACAAAACAAATGGTGTGGCATCGACTTGCGTTCGTGGAGGGACAGCTGAGGACAAGTCAGACAAAGGCGGACAAATCTTAACTCACATCTCCAGAGTTGAAAGTTTATGACTCTGCAATGTGGTTCTCACATACAAATTTCCATTCCTGAACTAAAACACCGATGACCTACCTCCACACCATCCTACCCAAACTACACAAAATGGCACAAAAATCAGCTCATCCACAGACATAAAAACTCAAGGAAGCAGACACTTGATAAAGGAATCCAAAATGCCTTCCCAGAAAAATGTAAGACCCCACAAGTCTAGAACCAGTCCTGCAGAACTGCCAGGCTGCTTACAGTTCCATACCGTCAACCAGCAAAAGCTGTGACCAGTTTGTGAACCATGTGGACACAGACCCATGGAAAGTCCCACCTCAAAGTGGCTGACAGGCAGCAGCCTTGTGGCTCCTGATTGCCTTCACACCCTATATAAATCTAAGAGGCATTCCAGAAAGTGTCCAGGCAACAGTGTGGCTCTTCTGTAGGAGCCATGTACATTTATTTTCCCTGCTCCTGAACTCCTAGCTTCAACCTTGGATTGAGTTGGATTTCGCCTCCTGAACCAGAGCCTGAAACCTGACTACAAACTCCTCCACTACTAGCCTCAGATTTGCCCTTGCTCTGATCTGGGTCCCCATTGCCCTTGTTGGGATCCTGACAATATAATTGCATCAGACAAATCATAACTAGTAGCAAAACAAACAGCAGCTCTTATTAAGAAGCTCTCATATAATATTTCATCAGTGCATCTTTAAGCACTTTACAAATAGGAACATCATTATTGCCATTTTACAGATTGGAAAAGAAAGACACAGAGAGATGAGGTAAAGTTAAGTGCTCAAGTTCTCACAGTCAGTCACTGGCAGAATAAGGACTAAATATTGTAAAAGAAGCACAAAATAAGCTATTTTCTTTTGTAAGGCCGTGCCTTCATGCAGCAGAAATTGAAATATAAGTAGTGTGCAGCATCAGCACTTAATGCATAAGAATGGTTAATAAAATTACAATTTATGTGACCTTAAATTGAAATGTGATGGTGTCATTTTTTCAAACCATTCCATTAAGTATTTATTCCAGCCTTTTGGGGATCATAAAGAATTAAATGTTTACTCATTTATGAAGTATTCTCAGATCTATTCCTGTAAGTAATAAATCTATGAGCAAGCACATAACTGTGTAATTGCATGCAATTGCAAAGCAATTACAATAGTGATACACTGTACATTTTAAATGGGAACAAGTTACTGCTATAAAAAGGCAACAGCTTTACATAAATTGTAAGTGAGGGATAGGACAAACTACAAAGAAAACAAAGATATTGCTATTGTGCTCCTGCATCCTACTGGAAGACCTCTAAAGGTTACTGAGGTATTGTATAACAGAGAAAACGATGTTATCGACTGCAAAGTTTTACTCTTACCTTTATTCTCACAGTGACAGTAGCAAGTCCTGGAGGCATAGTTCCTCCACTATCAAAGGCTTCCACTAGAAAGGTAAAGGTTGCCTCTGTGCCAGAAAATGACTCATAATCCAAGGATTTTAAAAGTGATAATTCTCCTGTGAACTTGTTCAATGAAAAAAACGGCAATGCTTCCTGGGTTCGTATCCGATAGGTAACATTTGAACCAAGGTCAATATCCTTTGCCTACAGCAAAAGAGAATTTACTTGAAAACTAAAACTGAAGAGTCACAAGGAAAAACACCAGCTCACAATTTTTACAGGACATACATTTGATTTATTTGATATTACTAAGAACATTTGCTTTCTTCGGTGCAGTTCATATATTTTTTTCATAATTTTAATTGTTAATTTTAACAAGATATATTTTTAGTAGGCTTGAGGAAACCAACTTTTTTTCAAAACCAACTCTGCTAGTCAACAGATGCTGCGTTTAAGATATGTACTACTTGCCTAATTAAGAGATTTGGATTAAAATTTTGGAAGGACATTTGAACTCTTTGGGGCTAAAATAAACTGGCAATATCCATATAGTAGAGCCTCACTGGAGAATGCAAATGTATTTTAGTAATGTAATTGACATTTAAAAAAATCTACATGTAAAGTATTTCAATAGTATTCTACTTATGTTTTGATTTTCCATCATTGCTTTTATTAATTAGTAGAAATGTAAGCTCTATGCTTCTAATATTTTTCACTTGCCTGTCCTACGCCAAATATCACATTTTCACAAAGAGAAAAAGGCTTTAAGGAGGTTTGGGTATCACTTCTCCCCTCACATTTTTAATCGCTTATTTTGGTTTTAATGGCAACCAGTTAGATGAGAACAGCCTCACACAATAAGATTAACAAAATATTTTCTTTGATCCAGAGTGCCTTACCTCTATTCGCAGGAAGACTGTGCCAGGTGGTAGATTTTCTGGAACACAGACAGTGTAGGAGGCATTAGTGAACATAGGGCTGTTGTCATCAATATCCAGAACTTTGATTGCCAGAGTTAATGTTGAACGGCGGGGGTCCACAGCTCCATCTGTTGCTTCAACAGTAAGTTCATAATAGTCCCTTGTTTCTCTGTTCAGTTTAACTGCTGTGTAAATGCTACCATTTGATGTGATGCGGAAAATATTGTTGAAGTTTACCAAGCTGTAATGTACTTGGCCATTTACTGCAGCATCTGGGTCTGTAGCCTAAAATAAAAGAAAAAGACATATTGTTTTAAAATACATTTGAAAGGTATGTGGATTAGATTCAGACATGATCAGTGAGCCTTTTATTCGACTTTCTAATATAAAAGAATCCAAAGGACATTGAAGTCAATGGAATCGTTCCATTGACTTCAGTGGTTTGCGGATGAGCTTCAAGTTTCCACTTACCTGACATGAAAAATTTCATATTGTTACTTTCTATATAGTATTAATTTAGTTTATGAAAACTGTTGGAATAAGTATGGAAGGGATTATCTGGGAAAGTGGGGAAGCTTATTTTGGCCATGTATATTACATCAAAGCTTGTGATTGTTGTTAAACTTTCTTCACTGGGTCTGATGACTTCTTAATTCTTTTGAACAACACATGTAACAGGCCTTGTTTCACTAGTCACAATGAGTTATTTACAATCAACACTTTCAACATATTACATAAAGATCTAAATTTAGCACCTCTTGTCCTCTTCAACGTACTTCTGAGCAAAAAATGTTACTGTTGAAAACTAATTATTTTTGAATACTATTCCTTAGATGCAGCTTTGCAAAATCATGGCATTTACCAGCCTTGGCAAAAATTCTATTAACTTGTTGTAGCAGACAATATTGATGATGTGTTTGACCATGGTATAGTATAATTAAACACAAAAAATACATTTTAAAAGGCATTTAAGTTATAGCATTAATCAAAAGAGAGCGGAAGGGCGTATCTAAGTTGCCATAATGCCTTTAACTCAGCCCCTCTTTACCTAGATGTTGCTGCAACCACAAGAGAATGTGTGCATTGTATTGCAAGTCTCTGACTTCAGTTACTGTTAAGGGAATTCATATGCTCAAACTGAGGAAAGAGCATATCAGCTAGACTCTTACCCCATGCTTGCAACCCTTTGAAGCAGTCCACTGGAGCAATGGGGCCATAATGCCTTAGGATTTTCCCAGCTGAGAATTCCTCCAATATGGGGGAGTCCCAATTTGATGTAAAACTGGAATAGCCACATCCTATGCAACCCATCTTCAAGCACCGAGTGTAGAGACATAGCAGGATACTGCTGTGTTGTTGTGATCTCTGACGGACATAACTGCTCTTAATGGCAATGTACTGAATGCTCTAAACTATACCAAGTACTAGGCCAATGGAAAATTGACCTCTGAGATTTCCCTGCCTTAGCAATGCCCAATAGCACAACTAAGAATCTGGGTCTATGTCTTATGAGATGCTCAATCTGAAGAAAAGTATTCAAGAGCCCATTTCTGCTCCTACTAAAAATCAATAGGAAAACTCCAATTTCATTGCAAGTGTCATAGAATCCAGGCTGCATACAAGAAATGAATAATGGTGTGTTCAGTGAGGTAACTGATGTGTTTTAATTTATTGTTACAACTCTTAATATTTTAGTAATTTTAAACACTTTCTCCTTGAAGCGTCATTTCATTTTTATAGTTTATTTACTAGTTATGTTCTTTAAACTTGATTGGTATTTACATGACCAAGACAGTAACATTGTCATGAAAGGTTTATTCTACATTTGCTGATAGCACTATTTGCAAGCATGTTTTTGTGCATTTCCTTGGCATCATCTCACAAATGTTTAAATATCTTTGAGGTAATTTAAAATAGGATTTAGGATGACTCAGACCATAAAATCCCTAGTGTGCTAGGTTACTGATTTTAGCACTCAAAATAGTTCTTACAGCTACACTGAGGACTGTGAATAATTTTCATTCACATGGTAAACTGAAATCTAGAGAAAACAAAAAAAATGTACTAGTTTTTAAATGTTGGGTCTGCAAACTTTGCTAGATAAATTTTTCTAAGTTAGGAATTTCAGAGTATGATACAGGAGATATAGATGAATATTCAGGAGAAAGCTGAAATTAGTCCAGATAAGCACCACAAATTCCAGATACTTCAAAAAGAACAGGAGTACTTGTGGCACCTTAGAGACTAACAAATTTATTAGAGCATAAGCTTTCGTGGACTACAGCCCACTTCTTCGGATGCATAGT